CCAAGATACAGGATAGTTCTAGAAAATAGGTGGCGCCACACCAGTCACGTGACCTCGATGACGCAACACTATTATAAATCGACGTTAATATTCCTTTATTCTACGATTAGCTCAGTTTCCAGTATATTTACTGGATATATACGGTACTATCCCTTTATGTCTGTTATTACATCCAATGTAGTGGTTCTTAACCAAAACATTTTCACTTACTCTGTGTAAGTCTATCTCTGTATAAAAGCGGTATTTAAATACCGTTTTAACAATAATATAGAAATTAAATATTTATTTTACGTTTCAGATCTCTTTAGAATGCTCGCAGACTTTTTTAGGAGTCACTGGAGCACAAGGCTGATAACTAAACACTTCTATAAAATCGCCGATGTTATGCTGGATCAGTGTACAAGCTTTGAATGAGCCTTACAGCCATTGATCATATTTTATTTCTGTTAATATTCAAGTGCCCCCTCCCGTGGCTTAAAGTCAAGTCTGGAGGCTTATAACACACACACACAAACAGGTTTCTATGCCGATGGTGGACACGGCACAAATAGCTCATTTTGTAGCTTTGTGCTTAACTGCGAACAAACAAATAATATTGAAGTGTATTGTGAATTAAAAGACTTCCTATTTGGCCCATAGAAAATAGAAAGTACAAAATCAGCGATTAAGCGGTTCCAGATTTTTCGGACACCCTGTACAATAACGTACAAAAGAATGCTTTTATTATGCTTGTGCAATTATTATAGGCACTTCAACGAATTTTACAGAATGTGTGTTCCATATGCTGTCCTTGTAATTTGAAACAAGTTTGGATTAACTCGATCTTCTCATGCTCTGATAGCGCCATAATCAGTCACGTATCTGAAATTAAGAAATACTGCAAATCACCTATGGTTCCAGACTTTCCGTATAGTGGCGTATTCATGGGTAATACCTAAATTAAAACGGAAAGTTCATAGAAACCACTCAACATCTTGGATACGAATGTTATATTCCTTTCATTACTTTTATGCCTGCTTGTCTTCAATCAAGCATGATGTCTGAAGTTATGAAGTGTCTAAAACTTAGGCCCCAATCATTCTTCAATCACACACACGCGCTGTAACAGAAGTCTTACATATGCCTCCATATCTATATGCATGTATATTTACGAACATTATAGCATACATCTTGCTATAGAGATGGTTCTTTATGTGTGTGTGTGTGTTAGCATTTACCATCCAGAGTTGGCTCTCACAACTACCATAAGCTCTGTATGGTAACTGGAAACTTTCCGAAAGTGTACTAGAGCCATATTGTTTTAGGATTTTTGCCCGAGAAGGAAGATAAAAAGCCCCAGGAATATGGCACATTTCTACTTTTTATTATAGAATTTTATTTTGCTTCACCCATAGTTGGATGGCTATATTACCGTAATTTTTTGTATGGTAAATGGAAACTGTCCGACAATTTACATGGGTTATTTTTTTCAGGATTTTTACCTAGAAAGAAAAAGAAGAAAGGATAAAACACTCTGAAGTAGGGTACATTTCCACTTTTTATATATTTTTGGGTTTGAATTTAAAGACACGAGTACTTAGTTAGCTAAATACCCCCCCCCCTCCACCCCCCATTGGCACAGCGGTATGTCTGCGGACTTACAACGCTAGAATTCGGGTTTCGATACCCATGGTGGGCAGAGCACAGATAGCCCATTGTGTAGCTTTGTGCTTAATTACGATTACAAATTACAGCTAAATCAGGCAGTTATTATATTCCACAAAGCAGGGAATGCAATTAGCATCTAATGAGGTAATAAGAGATTTAATAACAAAAGAAAAAAAGAAAGGGCCTTGATACAGTTTTTGCATCATTTAACGGGTACTCTCAGCTAGTATCAATAAACAGAAATCCAGAATGAACGGTATCTGTCCGCATTTCATGGAAGGTGCAGGATACTTCCGCTACAGGAAGAGGCACGCCATTAAATTCCACGTGACTTTTCTTCTGCAAGTTATTGTTAAAAACAGAACATTAAGAGCAAGAGTTATATTTTTTGCTTTTTTTACGAGAAAAGTCATAGAATCATAATGTTGTAGTAAATTGATAGTAAATCGACATTTTAGACTTTTTAGATATCACTAACTCAGATGATGGAGGTGATGAGTAAGTACCTGTTTAAACTTATAAAATGCAAGATTTTTGGTTACGTTCGACAGTTCTGTATAAAACATTATTAAAGCTACCATATTGTGTGAACTAACATATATTATTTTTCGATAGATGTATGTTTGTTGTGAAATAACCACGGTCTTATAATGAACAAGCGATTAAAGATACCATCAATTTCAGTTTAGTTGAAAATTTAACTCCAGAATTAATGAAATTAGTGTTATTGATATTTATGATCTGAATTTTTACTAAAAGTTTCCCAGATTAACAAATTTTTGATCAGCCAAACCAGAATTGAATAGTAACTGGGAACTTTGGTAGTACACATTTATCCTTTGGCTGTACTTAGCAAAATGGTAATAACGATATTCTCTGTAAAATAACATTGTTAACCGACGTGAGTTTATTAAGTTATGAAATATACGCTGCGCGTGCGCAAAACACTGCAACGTGTGAACCCGATATTTTTAGGTATTATGTTCCCAATTTATGATTCTTACATAATTCGGATTTTTTTTATCAGTTGCCCCTTTTTTGTTTTAACATTATTTTCTTAAAAATACTAAGTTTAATAATAACAACATGATTAGTAAATCTAAATATTTTACAATTATCTGTGAAACGTTTCTTGAAGTAATATTTTACCACCGCAGCTAAATTATTTCAATTCTCATGTAAAGAATAGTGAATATAATACTTGAAATTACTAATAGTTGTTTCAGTTACAATTTAGAACAGCTTAAACTGTCTTCTACTAAAGAAATAAAAGATGTTATTATACACAACAGTCACTTCAGCTCTTCGTACAATTTCTATATTAAAGGTCATGATTCCTTATTTAGAATGCTTCTTTCAAAACAACAACAAAAAATGTGGGCAGACATTTTTTCTTCAAACTTTAAAGAAACAAATCAGATTTTTTATTCCTTATGGTAAGGATTTAGATCCTTACATTTTTTTTGGAAAATATTTAAAGGTTATGGAAATGAAAATAACTCTTTAAAATATTATCTTGGGTTAAAATGCAAAACAAACAAAATTATAACAAAAAAAAACTACGGAGAAAAACCCAAACATTTATAAGACTGATGGTTGTTATTAAGCATAAAGCTACTAATGGGCTACCTGAAGAAATATTACAAAATAACATTATTCATAAAATTGAAAACCATTTGTAAACATTTTCTCAGTAAATGCAGTTTATAATCTTCTTTTGTTTTACACTTATCATTTTCTTAACTTTAATGATAAAGAAATAGTTACTCAGGAAGTTAAATGTTATAACTTGTTCTTCCTTTTTTTCACCAGCGTATAATAATGTCAGGTTTAGTTTGTTTAACAATGTGTAGATATTTTTATATTATCTTGAAAAATAGATATTACTTTAAATTATGGAAGTTATCTGGCAAGCTGTGTGGGAAAAACCCTTGAAAGATGTATTAATAATAAATTTCTTTAAATATGTTGAACTTAACAACAATATAATAAACAATAATAATAATAATCTCTCTTAAGGGGTTAAAACATCATTATACAAGTTATGTGGTAAGTTTATCTGTTTGTTGTTAAGCGCAAAGCTACACAACGGTCTATCTTGGCAAAACCACATTTTTTAGCTTTATGTGCTCTCAGACTTGCCTCTAAACCACTAGGAAAGCCATATGGTAAAACCAACTAAATGCATTAATAATGATTTAACTTACAGGTCATCTGGCAAGATTGGGCTTTATTAAAAAATTGTTTTAATTATTCAATAAGCATTATTAGATGTATAATTATAGCGTTAGTTTTCGAAAATTAAAATTAACCCGAATAACATTACGTTTATTTTTGATGCTCAGAAATTATATAAGGAAAAAGACAAAGCAATAACAACATGTCACTAAAAATCTGTACTAAGCTAAATAAAAATAATAAAGTAAAGAAAATATTTTGGCGTTATCTATGACAGAAAACCCGACAGGAAAGAAAGGTTCTAATGACCTGACAAACTTGCTAGGGTCAATATGCTGAAGAAAATAGCCTTAATGCAATGAATGTTTTAATACAACTGTATTTATGATTTTAAAAAAAATAGTTTTCAGGTCACGCTTTTTTATATCGCTTGACGTAACTGGCGTAATATACTATTATACGTGATAGCAATCTGGTCGCCATACTTTATTCCATTAATGCTCGTGACAAACATGCTTTGTTTCCAACTGTAAGCGAAAATTTTGGTTTCCTTACGAAAAAAATCAAGCAATTCACAAAACATAAAAGTTATTTCATAAATTAAACTTCCTTGAAATTAATAGTTGATTTTCCCTCTTAACTTTGAATTTTTTCGTCTTCTTTACTTGAAATGTTCTATTAAGCCGACTTTTTATTCTAGTGTCGTTTAAGAATTTTTTTTATATTCCCTATGGCTCAACGGTAAATCAGTGGGCTTATAACGTAAAAAATCGGGTTTCGATACCCGTTGTGGGCAGAGCACAGATAGCCCATTGTGTAGCTTGGGTTTAACTTCAAACAAACAAACAAATCACTCCAGTATATCAGTCCATGCAATTAAGATCTCTCAAAAACAGTAGAAAGGATATTCTGAAAGAATGTATATATAGCGAAAACGTATAGAAACAAGGAAGTCATGACAGACGTGGGTAATATTTCAGAAACTCCAATTAATCAGCAGCTTACACGTTCAAGCTTCTAAAAAAATCATCTTAGAAAGTGTGTTGAGATACGTCAAAGTTCAGAAGCCTTTATTCCTTGCTGTTAGCAGGTGAAATGCGTATGTTATTACATCTGCATACCAGCGAGCGCTAGTCATTAAAATGTGAACAAAAATTGGAAATATCTATTTAAAAAAAAACAGTAGAAGTGAAGCGTACGAGATTAGCAACTTTTTAGCCTTCATTACGTTAGGTCCGACGCTTCAATGATTGAATAACAAAGACATGTATTAACCGAAATAATTTTACAAAATGATAGGTTTAATGAAACAGTGTTGCCATCCAATCACACAATGGAAAGTTACACAATAGGACTATCTGCGGTTTGTCCACTGTGGAGAATTGAACCTCAGTTTTTAGCTTTGCAAGTCCGTACAATTATCGCTGACCCACCGGGGAGGCCAGGCATGGTCAGGAGGTAAGGGCGCTCGACTCGCAATCTGAGGGTCGCGGGTTCGAATCCCCGTCACACCAAACATGCTCGCCCTTTTAGCCGTGGGGGCGTTATAATGTGATGGTCAATCCCACTATTCGTTGGTAAAAGAGTAGCCCAAGAGTTGGCGGTGGGTGGTGATGACTAGCTGCCTTCCCTCTAGTCTTACACTGCTAAATTAGGGACGGCTAGCGCAGATAGCCCTCGTGTAGCTTTGCGCGAAATTCAAAACAAACAAACAAACAAACCCACCGGGGTGGGACATCAAAAAACAATTCTTGATAACATGTTCTTCAGAGATTGCCTTGTGGTGTTAGCTGCTATCCGCTACAGGTCGCTCTCTATTGGTTCTAAGCACACAAGTTATAGCAGAACCTAAGGCTATAATATTACATAGTAAATTGCATGCATTAAAATGCATTCCTATAATGTATAAGTTACTATTATGTTCCGAATTTTTACGAATGTAACTAATCTGGGGAGAATTTAAATTATATATTATTTGTTTATGCTCATTAAATTTTATTTGTAGTTTCACAAAGATATGTTAATTTTTTATTGTATTTTATAAACTATTAATATTTGTTTCTTTTTAAACTTATTTTAAAATAAAAAGAACTGTTTCGTGGATTCTCACAGTTATTTTATCGTTTGAAACTATACTTATTTTTCGTCGTGACATATCTTTCTAAGCATTCGAAACTAGCTATTTTTGTCACGATATTTTTATTTAATTTTGGGATGGGCACCTTGCAGATAGCCCATTGTGTTATTTGTGCTTAAAATTAAACATATTTTTTTATAGTTTGAAACTAGTTAATTTTTGCTATGACGTTTCCTTCTGTTAGGTTTCATTTATTACTCATAAAATATCTTGACAAAATATATTGCCATATATAATATTTTGCGATTTTCTTCCTTTGAAAAAAAAAGAGGGATTTTTAATTTATATAATTTCATTTACTATGCTCAATATCTAAGCATTATATTTTCTCCCTTTTGTATTGAATAACAACCCACCATTTTATTACATTTTGCTATAAATTTTATTCTAATTAATTATGCCACGGGATGGCTCTGTGGTAGATCTCTGAATTTCGGATTAGACGGATCGGTTTCTAATCAGTGCGATGTCACAAAATATTCTCTGCAGTTTAAGTTGTGGGTGTGTTATAAGAGTGACAATCAGTTTCTTAGCGTGGATGGTGGACGGTAGGGTGATTTTCACTGATTACCTTTTATGTGGTCAGTAGTTTAAAATTAGAGATAGCGGCAGATAGCCTTAGAGGTTTTCCATAAATATAATACAAATACTGAGTAATTTATAATTAATTACTATTAACTCATACCTTCGGTATGAGTTTAATCTTTCTATCTAAAGAGGTACACCTGAAAAATCCAGTCAATTTTGATATGACCTTGTAAACAAGTAAAATTTTTCAAATTTTATATTGTCATTCGTTTCTTAAGCTTTGTTTACAAGATGATTGGAGAAAGTTTATTACTTATGATAACAAAAGAAAAAAGTCGTGTTAAATGTCAGATTGTGTTTCCGTTTCAAAGAAGTGATTATTAATATTTTTCATGACAGAACTTAAGTTATAAGTGGACTAACTGTCATAAATTGACTCATATATATATGTATATATAAGCATGAACAAATCATTTACCTACTTCTTTGCCTTCTGTAGAAACTGGTAGCTTGTGTATTTAAAGAAGAAGAAGAAGCAAGCGACCAGACGGTTACACAAACAATCGAGGACACATCCAGTAAGAAAAGGTTGTAAACATCAGACAATCAGCCATTATATTTTCATTTTAAAATCAAGTTAGTGATTATTTTGAGCTTTCCACTTACTTCAGGTAATTACGTTTACAGTAATTTTGAGGGCTTATGACGTTAAGAATTTGGTTTCGATAGTCGCGGTGAACACAACACAGATAGCCAGTTGTACTTTGTTCTTGATAATAAACGTTTAGAAATAAAAATTTAGGTTCGGAAAAATTAAATAAAACGACTAAAATGATAAATGCTTTGTTTATTTGTGTGTTTTAACGTCAAATTACACAATGGGCTCTCTGTGCTTTGTCAACCCTGAATCGAACCACGAATTTTAGAGTTATAAGTCTGTAAACTTACTGCTGGCATACTAAGGGACAAAATTAGAGGATTCATCCGTACGAAATGAAATCAAAAAAGAAATATATGCCGATTAAGAATAACCTATAGTTTGATCTAATGTAACATGTTTATATAATGTTGAAGTTAAAGTTCATGAATCATATTATAGCATATCAACACGAGTTTTTCAACTACCTGAAACTAATTCAGGTAATTTATTTAATCATTGTTCATCCAACATGAAATACTTCTTCTGTTTGGCTGATAACAAGTACTTTGTTGCATGTTATTTTGGATTCCTCCAAACAAGTTTCTTTATTATTCAAATGCAACATTATGAACTAAGATTAAAATATAAGAAACGCGAGTGTATTTTGAATGAAATATAAAGATTTTAGCACATTCCTGGTTTAGATTAAATTATTACTTAATTTTGTGATATTTAGGGGAAAAAAAGAGCTCTTGAAAGAGAACCACATAGAGTCTCGCAAGTTACATGTTCGTTTGTCACAATACCAGATTTACATGGAAGTCAACTGTAAAAAAGGACAGGTGGACGACTTGATACAGGGGCTTCGCCACAAGGTGGACTGTGTCATACATGAGGAATACGAAAATGGTATAGTAGAACTTCTTTATGGGTTTGCTGATATTGGGTATAGCTTAGTTTTTAGCGAGACCTAACTATGTAACCAAGGATTCATGGTTTGTGACCCATTGCTGCAGAAATGAGCACTGCACTTTGGGGTCATTGATTCGCTATAAGAGTGAGGCCAACTTCCTACTATTCGATAAGACAAGAGTAGCTCAAAAGTTGGCAGTGAATGCTGTTGACAAATTGTCTTTTCTTTAGTCTTTAAGTTAAAAATGAAGTACATGTGTAGCTTTGACTGACAAATTTTAAAACTGCTAATGAACTTGAACCTGGAAAGTAAAATGTTCTCTTAAACAGTTTTTATCTATAATCTGGAAAGTAAAATATCTTCACTGTCGGTTTTATATCTTAATCTTGGCGTCTTAAACGTCCTCTAAGATGGTTTTATATTTTAAACTTGGCAACTAGACGGCCTGTCGCATTAAACTGAAGTCAGCTGATTCAGCCAGCTATGGACTCTTAAGAAAACATTACTTTGTTTTAAGAGATGTATGTTTAATTAAATTGTTTCTTTATATCAGACGTGAACATTAAGTAATAACTTCCACCAGAAGAGATGCTAAAGATGCTACACTAACAATTACAAAGAATAGTTAGTTTTAATTATGAGTATGAAACCAATTACAAAAAAATTCTATGTTTTCAGCCCTCAACCCAAGATTCGTTGGCTTCCTTTTCATCAATGAACCGGAACTCGATATTCTTATTCGAATAATTTTGGGCAATCACGTTTTTTTATGTACTAACATGTTTTTATTTTATTGGTTTTAGCCGAGACATTTAGTGTAATATTTGTCTTTGATTTAAACCTCATCCTAACCAACAATGTTTCCCCATGAATTCCTACAACTTTCAACAATAAATGGAAGTTGTATGTTTAGGTCTTGTTAATTGTCACTTTGTTTGTCGTCGTAGTTGATCAAAAACTGATTGTTTCTTTTTTTTTCATTGTATCCTACAGAGCTTGATGGGATACCGTGGTTTCCAAGGAAAATTTCTGATTTGGATGATATTTCAAACAGGGTGTTGATGTATGGTTCAGAACTTGATGCCGATCATCCAGTACGTATAATTATGAATAACGAAACATTACCATGTACACGATCGTAATTTTGTACAAAATCTAGAAATCATAATTCGGAGTTCATTTCTTATTGAATTGAAATAGTTTTGAAACTCTTTAATGAATGAAATGTATTTTCAGATGTTAATAATTTGAGTAAGACAACATGTTTTCATGTCGATATTAATATAAATATTGAGTTTGTTTGCTTATTGGTATACACAAAGCTAAACCATAGGCTATCTGCGCTGTGTGTACCACAATTATAGAAATATGGCTTGTAGCGGGTGTTAGCCCTCAGACGTACCATTGAGCCACTGGGAGCAAATTTAATACAGTTCTGTAAATACAAGCATTCTTGTTTAGGCCGTTTAACCTGAATACATATTTTCAAATCTGTGAACGATTTGAAAATGTTATCTGTGCACAGGAAGGTGCCGGAAGGCTATCAACTTTTTGGCAGTCAATAAAGATACATTCTAAATGCGCCAATTGACTTATGAAATGAGTATTAGGGTAGGAGAGTTGTAGGAGGAGAATGATGGAGGATATAACCTCTGATGATGGAGGAAGATGTCTCTTTTTTTGTTTGAAGTGCCGAATTTATGTCGTTTAATATACTACTTTGAGAGGCTTTAATAATTTATGTTTTCAGATTATCAAATTTCTAACATTAACACTGTTCCATGCCGAAAAGTTTCCCCTAGAGGAACAGTACCTGAATAGTTTTTGATTGAATTAAAATATAAGTTTTATTTTTGGTATAAATTGAATTACTTGGCTAACACAAAGTATTATAATAGACATTGTGCGGATTGCCTCTCAGTGGCTCAGCAGTAAGTCTCCGAACTCACATCGTTAAAAGCCAGGTTTCGATACTTGTGGGGTGCACAACACAGAAAACCCATTGTATAGCTTTGTACGTAACAACAAACAACCAATCGACCGTATCGATTTTAAGTTTTTAGTTGAAAATCGTTTATTAACTGGACTTATAGAGTGACTGTTCTTTATAAAGATTTTATAAAGTGTCTTCTGTATTCTTATTTATACATAAAGAACATAACTCAGTGTAATATGTACAGTGAAATACACGAGGGCTATCTGCGCTAGCCGTCCCTAATTTAGCAGTGATAAACTAGAGGGAAGGCAGCTAATCAATACCACCCACCGACAACACCTGGGCTACTCTTTTGTCTACGAATAGTGGGATTGACTCCACGGCTGAAACGGCGAACATGTTCTGTGACGGGGATTCGATTCCGCGACCCTCAGATTGCCCTAACCACCATGCTATGCCAGGCCCAATAACTTAGACATATGTTTTAGCAGACTCATTGGACGTGCATTTCGTACGATTATTGTAAACCAAACAAGGAGAGTAAAACGTGATTCCTTGAATCCTTTGCGTGACGTATTTCTTATAATGCTCATTCACGGAAGGACCTTGGTTGTACTTCTTAAATATCTCGTGCATCTTCCTTGACGTAGAGATACTACTACCTATCTTATTTCCCTACCATTTCCTACGTCCATGACGTCGGCATGCTGTCATGCTATTTGAGGCATAACACTTACAATAATAATGTGTTGTAGCATATAGTAGCCTCCTTTCTGCTCTTATCAATAGTGGTAAATTTTTCTGCAGTGGCGTCTTCCAGGAAAATAACGTTTTAACGGGAAGTGCAAGAAACTTCGTACAATTTTACGAACTCTGGTTTTTATTTTCTTACCATACACTTGAGGCACAAAACAACCTTTCAGTTTTACAAGACAACATTTGAGTGTCAAGTACGTTTCCATAGTCTGATGTCATAACTTTCTCTAAAATCTGCATTTGCTTATATCTATCATCTTGAATTATAGGAAATGTTTGAAAACTGTATGTTTTGTAATTCGTCGTCTGTGTGCTATTGATGTTATACAGTGGGCTACATGCACTCTATTCACCGCGGAAAATCGAACCCCGCGTTCTAGTGTTGTAATTCTTCATCTATGTGTCAATCCAGTAGCAGATGTTATAAATAGATTTTTTTTTATAGTTAACCTACATATTGTGAAAATAAAACAAGTAAACAAATTCAGTTTGAAAATAAATGGATCACTGGGGGTCAACGATAAGCTTGAGGGCTTATAACTCTAGAATTTGAGGATCGATCCCTGTGGCAGATAGTCCATTGTGCAGTTTTGCGCTAAACAAAACAAACAATCATAATAAAAGAAATACATCTTAAGCTAAGAACAGTGAAATAAAAAAGAATGTTTTCTTTAGAATAGGACTTAGCGATTGTAGATCTGTGACTCATGTTCCATTGTCAACAAATAAAAAAAGTCGTTCTCAGCATTTTGGGCCGCACGTGGTGTTGATGAATTGACTCCTTCTCTTGTCTATCGCTTTAAAATTAAGGTTCTAACATTATTTGCGCGAAATTAAACAAATTTTAAAGTGCGCGTAGATTAAAAAAAAAACACTCTAAAGGGTGATAACGTGCACAGGTTCAGCGTGTTTACCGTATAATATCTGAAGTTGTAAACTATGAGAAACCAGGTGAGCCCTTTACAGGTTTAACAGTACAAAATAATCCATTAAGAATCCATTTTTCAAATAATTCAAAAATTGAAAACTTAAGTCATGTTTGGTAGTTTCAGAAGTAATTATTTCTTATTTTCTTGTTTTCGAATGCCGATCTTTAATTGTTATAGTTAACGTGCCTTTTTAACACAGGCTAACTTGCAGATGTGATATTTTACTTCGCAGGGTTTTAAAGACAAAATATACAGGGAAAGGCGAAAGAAGCTTTCTGCTCTTGCCATGTCTTACAAACAGTAAGTGAACCTATAAGAAACTAAGCCTAAACATCTATAAAATAAGGCAGAAACAATTGTTTTCTATTTGATTTTTATCGTGAATAATGGGAATTAAGGTAGAGTGAGTTTTTTCTAATTTGGCATTAAGTTGCTATCATACCATTGCCGCTGTAATCCTTTTGCTAACCATTCACCTATTCATATATATATATATATCTTAATAATATATTCGCACTTTGACAAGCCTGACACCGTTAGTATGTTCATTTCACTGTTTTAGGGTGCTTATTGACATCACACATTTACAGTTAGTGCAGTTCCATTTTTATGTACATATTTATTTATTTGTCAGGAACGGATCCAGGATTTTCTAAAGGGGAGGGGACAAATGAAGGGATATCGGAGAGTCTGATATGAGGTTGTAATCTCTATTAGAAGCTGAAGAAATTTTGAAATCATAAATCTTTCTAAGACTAATTAATAACACTTTAAATTGATTTTAGCCAGTCACTCCCATTGGCTAATTACAAATAAGAAATCAGAATGACCAATACTTTCTGCTACCATCGAAAAAATCTTTTCCTTCATTTACGGAGCTGAGTGTTAAGACCAGGATCTTAAAGTGTCCATTGGAATCAAGTTATATCTAGTGCTGTTCACCATTAGGCTAGAGATAAAGATGGAATGATTGATAGTCATACCGATGAAAAGGATTCTTTGAAAGACCTGTGGTGGATTTTAAACCGGTCATAATATTTTGTAAGAGAATATGTTTACGGCTATTTTCCCCATTTTACACATTACAGTCGGTCCCAAACCCTTTCCATACAGTTATACAAGCATAAACGATACCAGAAAACAAATAAATATAATATTTGTATCTCTTGACATTCCATTTTTCCTATATATTACTATGCTTCTTTCATTTTTGATATTGGAAAGAGGTGTTCTAATCCCCTTGGATCTGCTACAGATTTGTTTTAGCTCTTAATTATTGTATAATGTTAATTTAGGGGTCTAAACTAATTTGATAGAAGATCTTAGTGCAAAAAAAAAATGTTGTCAATCTTAAAGTTTCTAGTCTAGAGCATTTGTGATATCTTATACATTCTTAAAAAAAACAATTTTACCTTTCCTTTTACACCAGAATACTTAACATTAGTAACAAGTCATGAATTTTCGATAACGTAAATATATTTATCTAAAAAAATTGAGTGAGATTTTATAGACCTTATTCCTTAGTCATTTTTGTCCATTTCTTGCAAAAATCAAATTTCTGGATTATACAGACTTGTTTTTGTTTTCCTCTACTCTTTGCGCACTCTGTTAAGGACATAAAGTAAAAATATTTAAATATAAAATCAAAACATCGACTCCAGGCAATGTAGATTTCAAAATTAATATTACATTTATAAGATTTCCCAGACATATATATAACTACATTAGTGCACCGTCCCTTAATGAGTCAAATATCTAATCTAAACTATTATTTCATAGAAGTCTGTTTGTGTGTATTTGTGTCTGCTTATAACTGGCGAACTGTTGGAATGATTGCGACCAAAACTGACATGTTCCCTTAGCTCCTTCCGAGGAGTGACATAGGAGGACTTTGACGTTCGAATTTTACCCCTATGTCACTCACGGGGCCCATATCTCTTCCTCATGTTTTGAACAGGTACCGTTTGCTAGATGATACAGACAAAGAACTAAAAGTAGAGGCAATCTTTGGTGGTGGGTAGACATCCTTATTTGTAATTTCATTCACCTCCAGGTAGTCCACATAGAAGTTATCTATCCCTCTTTCTTTTTCATAAGTATAAGAGATGATACCCAAGTAGTAGTACTCGGTTCTCTTACTCCTTGTTTCTTCAAAACTTCAGCCTGTTTTAGAAGTGGGAGTCATCTGGCTAACTGACATATTGAGGCTGTATCACCAGTATCAGTCTTACTTATTTGTTTGACCTAAGTCTCGAGGTCCATGGAAAAGGTATCTTGATATAACAATAGGAAGCCATCATTCAAAACTCTGATTTTATAGCACTTATAAGTGGGGTAGCAATCTGCCCTTACGTGAGGATTTGACATTGGATTTCCTAAATCTTGCCTCAGAGGTGACTATTTCCTTCTGATGTTATTTGGTGTGGAAGTAATACTTGTACAGTTTGACTTCTTGCAATGTTCCATCAAGACTTGACAAAAATGTCATTGTTTGTTGTGTTCATGGCCCTAATATTGACATTTTTATTAATTAGATCCATGAGAGTTCTTTCAACCATTACTCTACAAAGACACATTAGAGTGCTTTATTCTACTACACTACAGTCAAGAGATGTACATTTATTTATAATAAATCGTGATATGAATATTTCACTTCTTGGTGGTACAATAACTGTCATACTTGTTATCACTGTAAATTCAACCACTTGTATAGTAATTGTCATGTAGTGCACAAGCATTTCGTGGTCATAGACTTTGAAACTGATTGAAGCTGTCCTAATCTCACTTATGTCTACTCATGGAGTCAGTTCCCAATATACACTCTTCCTCTATAGGACTCACACATCAGGAGGTGTAGAGAAGCTTTTTACAATAAGGGTAATTTCAAACTTTCCTGTTGCTGGAACATTATGTCCACTTGTATTTTTCATCAATTCATCTTCTTTCTTCATCTTTGGAGGCAATTCCTCATCTTTCCTTACCAAATTGGATCAAATTTGTATAACTATAGAACCAGTTTTGATCAACAAACTAGTATACTTCTGGTCAATAAATTCGTGGACTTATGAATTGATTTATTTAAATAATAGCTTTTTATCCCATTTGAGGCAGAAGAAGTATTCTCAGCTGAGTGTTTCTCCATAAGTCAAACTAATTCCCGTTTTTCCGATGTGTAATTAGCTCTTTGTCGTTTCTTTGAACCGATTGGGCTCGAATACTCATCATTAGGGTATTATTTCCTTCACTTGTTAACAATTGTTGATTCTTTACAGTCTCGGCTCTAATAACCAGCTTTCTTACACTTATAAGAGTTCAATATTTCTGGTATCCTTTAGAAGGAGCACTTATCCCATATAGGATTTACATATGTCCTTTCAAGTCATACTTGAAACATCAATAAATTGTTATGTGCTTCCTCCATTCTGCGTAACCAGTTGTTTAACTAATTCTTTCAGTTCTTTTACACTATCATCAGAGGGAGTTGATGTTTCAATAATACTTGATCTGATGATTCCATAACTTCTAGATGGTGTCTTTAATAGTTTATTTGTAGCATTACTTGCAGGGCTTCTTTTTAAAAATGTAAAATTACTTTGCTTCAAACTAATTCTTAAATACTCATCTCTTGTAGCATCTATAAGTTGGTCACATACCAACGAATCAATTATTTCACCTGGAGCACCTGGGTAAGAAATTGGGCAAGCTTTCCAAATTTTCTTCCATATCCTGCTATGGAACTTTACTTTGTACATTTTCTAACAGTGTGTCACTCCAAACTTGTTGGTAAGACAGTTATCAATGCTTCGTAGTTGTAATGGCTGTAAATTGGAAGGTAACTTAATGTTGTTAAAGTTGGTTCTTAAATGGGCAGGAAAATTTATAGCTTATTGTTCTGCCTATTCACTCTGAATATTATTTTAAACTGAGCCTGATATGGATCTAATCGCACCTTTTCATCATAGTTTATTGGTTTGTCGATTCAGCAATATTGTTGAACTGACCAGCTAAATTGTGGAACTTGATTTATTAATGACATATCTGGGGTAGTCTAGGAAAGTTCTACAGTCACAGATGGTACAACAGCAGCGGTAACAGGTGTAGACCAAATAGTTTTTCTTATTACATATATTCTGTAGTAAATGGTGTTTTACATTGAAATTTTTGGACAGATGCAAAACTATGAGTGGCTTTAGTGGTACTTGTTGTTACTCAGACTTATTTTTGCTCTTAATTCTTCTTAATATATCAAGTCTCTTTCTTTTAACTCCTCTCTTAAATTCCCATCTCTTATCTCTTGATCTTTTTTTAATTTTCTATAAATGTTTTCTTCCTTTTCTTCAACATTGTTCTAATTTTCTGTTTTATTCTTCTTGTTTTTCTGTTAATATTTTGTCTCGCTTTTTTGTTTTTCTTTAAATTTTCTGTCTCGTTTTTCTTGTTGTTCTTTTAATTTTCCTTTTCTTATTGATCTTTTAGTTTTATATCTCTTTTTCCAAAATTTCTAAGTCTTTCTTATTCTTGACCTTCTTTTAATTGTTTAATGATCTCTACCAAAGTTTCGATCTCGCTTCATGATCGAATTGTCATCTTGAAATTTAGTCCAGTCAAAGTTCTACTTTATTCTCAACAAAATAATTTCAATTGTGATACTGTAAGGTACGCTATCGTTGGGTAAATTCTTTTGGATTATTTCGTAAAAATAATGTCAAGTTTAGTCCATGTAACAAAGAAAATTAATTTATTTCCTCAATAACGTTTGCCATAGACAATATTCACTTTGCCACAAGTTATACTTAAGAGCCTAAGTTCACAAACAACATTTTAATAGAAACTGCGATGCTAATGTACGCTTAATTCATAATATAAGCACCAACTCTTAACTGACACTGAACTTAATAGCTCACTAATTACTCATGAACTAACTGTTTTACTGATTCTTGCATTTATATTGTACTCTTATTTCTCCATATTGCACGCAATTTCCAGATTATACAGAGGCCTTAACTTTCACGAATTTTCTAAATAAATTACATAATCATCATTATCAATCCCCTATAACAAATAAACACTTAAGTAAAACAATGAAAATATAGATTACAACAATACCAACATGACTTATATTATTGCTGTAATGGTAAAGTAAAAATTACGTCCAAGCTAGCTCCTAATTCGCCGCATCAAACTTTATCCAGTTTAACTCAGTAATGATTCTTAGTTGAAGTAAGATTCAATCTGAATGTGAATTTATTTTATAACATAAATAAAATAGTGCAAGGTGAGAAATATCAAGTTCCTTTGTTTTGTTGTATTTATGAGTTATCATCTACTGTTTGAACTAAAGCAGAAATTTGTATTTTTTTTGTTTTGCTTAAGCCTTTTCGGGTGCATTTCACATATTTTCGGGTGTTACAATAATCCAAGACACTTACACTTTGATTACTATTGTTTAACTAGACCTATAAAGAGATGCAACTACTGCAGGGAAGTAAGATGCAAATCAGGATAATACTAATATTATAAACATTATCAAGTAGACTACATAGAATTGAATAATAACACGTGTTTAAGAGCCGTTTGCAGCAATGACACCAGATGTTCTTTCTCATCCATCGCTCATCTGACATTTTTTAAAGAATAGTTATTTATTTACGACTAAAACGTAAGTTTAACTGCTTCAGCTGAGTAGAATTTACGAGAGATAAAGGATCCCTTGGTCACGGTCTCCAGATGTTCACGTTGCAGCATTCAGTTCAACATTTGCTACTTAACTAGGCATGCTTACTTATTGGTGTAACTACCCTTAGTGGCGAATAATAGCGAAATATGGCTACTTTAAAACGCATTTTAAAGAAGATTTTACAGTTTTCCCAATAAAACTTTGCAAGTGTGCCCAATTAATTTTTCTCTTCACATTTATACCACTAAAAAATAAAATACTTGTACCCATTTTTTTCCGTGCTGTAGAAAACTGGGTTACTGATAATTTAGAAATTTTCTAAAAAATTCACATAACTCCAGAATTCCAAGAACACAGAGCTGGTGAATGAAATTTCTAAAGCTCTTCTAGAGGTGAATAGTGTTCAAGAAAAAGTAAAACATTTACCATTTTTAATCAGGGAGAAGGGTATAAGCTTGCATTATTATGCATAATGAGAAAACTATGTAAACATAAAATAGATTTGTTTCTTCTTTTCCTTTTGTATTATTTTAACTACAAAACTACTCTTTTTTTTACTATCTAAACAGAACCATCTTTGGCATAGATGTAACACAAGCAAGGTTTTCAGGCATGAAATAAGTTTATGTTACACTATTCTAAAGCTGTAGATGTGCAGTTGAATTCCTGTACTAGAAGTAAGATAATTTTCATAATAAATTAAACAGAATTTGCTATGTTTAAATTATTTTAATCTGTTGAGCTATATAATATGAATTACTTACCTATTTTATAATTTTGTATTTTGCAATGATTACTTTTTCGCTGTATCAAGATATGTTGTATGAACAATTATTTGCTGACAAAATATCTAAGATTTGACATAAACTGCAAGTATATAAAATACCGCACAAAATTTCAACTAATAAAAATTAGGAAAATTACCCAGTAAATTTCATGCACAAAATGAAAATATGGAAAGAAAAACTTTATCTAATTTTACTGATAATGAACAAATATGGTATAAATTTATTAACATAAATCTAGCCCTCAGAATAGTAGACACTGATAAAGAAAACATCTACCATAATATTAGTTTTCAAACTAGAACGACGTATAACGAGAATGTAACTCCATAATAGTACTACTAATAGAACTGAAAAGATTAAAGACAGGGAATCTATTATGTAAATCATGTTTACTTAAACAATTTACGTCACATGTAGTAACAAGAAATGCTTTATAACAAGTTTATAAGGAATTTTCTCATTGTTACAGTGGTCAACCAATCCCTAGAGTTGAGTATACCCAGGAGGAAATCGCCACTTGGTAAGAAACTTTAAGAAAAAATTTGGTTTCATGTAAACAAAATTAGCGAACCAGAGTTTGTTTTTGATATCAAATAAACTAATTCAGTGAAACAAAGTTGATGTTTGATATTAAATAAACTAATTCAGTGAGACAAAGTTGATGTTTGATATTAGATAAACTAATTCAGTGAAACAAAGTTGATGTTTGATATCAAATAAACTAATTCAGTGAAACAAAGTTGATGTTTGATATTAGATAAACTAATTCAGTGAAACAAAGTTGATGTTTGATATCAAATAAACTAATTCAGTGAAACAAAGTTGATGTTTGATATCAAATAAACTAATTCAGTGAGACAAAGTTAATGTTTGATATTAAATAAACTAATTCAGTGAAACAAAGTTGATGTTTGATATTATATAAACTAATTCAGTGAAACGAAGTTGATGTTTGACATCAAATAAACTAATTCAGTGAGACAAAGTTGGTGTTTGATATTAAATATGATAATTCAACGAGAAACCTACAACAGTAATTGAAGAAACCATTAGTATTTATGAGTTTTTTGAGTAAGATGTACTCTACTCTTTTTCTTAACTTTTCTTTCATTAACAGTATTGGTTAGATGATTTAATATATATTTATTTTTATTATTATTATTTATTTCATTATTATATTTGGTTTACAAAGATAATTTTGCATATGTATTATCTCTCACATTATCAACATGAGAAAAAACGTTGGGCTGCTAATTAATGACTGGAGATTGTTGGATCTCGAGCTTGGGTGTATACGTCCCAACAACTTGCATGAACTGAAAGATATTCGAAACACATTAATACAAAAAAGAACAAATATTTAATGATTCACAGTAAACTATATAAATTAACAATACTCCACTAACACAATGGGATACAATATGATATAATGGACAAAAAATCATGTGTACTTTGAAGTTTTAAACGAAATGTATAGAACCTGCAAGAGCTATTGATGATGCTAACAGAAAGAAACAACAACATTCCTGTTGGTCAGTGTGCTCCCCCCCCCCCGTAAGCTATAATAAAATAAATGAAACCACTAAGTAAGATTAATCACAACATAAGTTAAAATACCCTCACATCAATGTATTTAAATACACTAGAACTGTGAAATCCAAGTCTATACTTGGAGTTACCAACAAAACAAGTGCTCCTAAAAATGACTGTAACAATGGTGGAACCGATACTCCACTGACTACGCTTCATGACTTAAAATGAAGGTAAATATAAAACTCGTTCATGTCGGGCGAACGTAAACAACTTCAGCGCGGCCTTACCAGAGCTTTAAAGGTCCTTACTTTACACAGAGTGAAAGTAAACAATAAATGGAATTAAACGTCGTTCACGGAAACTTTAGAAGTTCTCCTTAAATATAAGAAAAGAAAAGGTACCAATCTGCAGAAACACACAATTAAGAGTTTTTGTTATGTTAGAGAAAAGAAAAATAACAGATTCTGCTGTGCAAGTTAACGGAGTATAATGACTTACGACAATCTCCGTAAATATATGTAAATGTATTTTTAAAATATTGTAAAATCTGTGCAAAAATCATCTCTCTCAGACCACAACCTGTTTTAAATATGTCAATAAACCCTTAAGTTCCTGACACAAGAAAACAGTGACTGGTGCCTGTTAAATCACTTGGCCAATAGGCAGTGAAGATCAGGGGCGAGTTCATCGAAACGTTTGTTTGATCCGCCAATAAGAATAACTCAGTTCGCTATTTAAACACCACATTGTTGATACTGTAAGAGAATATTCACTTATCCCAGTTTACTTTTAAAGGAAAGTGAAAATCAGAAATTCACTTAAGCACCATTGTATTCCATTCGGGGAACTATGAAAAATAACATAGTTCTGAAAATTATACGTTGCAGTTAAAGAGATGGAAACTTTTTGTAAGTCCGTGTACTATACATTGTTTGCTTAGTATATGGATTTAAGACTAATCTCAATTACCTTAGCTGGCCGAATCTTGTGAGATATTATTGGGATTGCGGCGGAAAATATCAATCAATGAGGGGGGCGTCAAATTTATTAAGTAATACGCTGTAATCTTTATACGTAAGATCGTTAGAACAGTATATATTTCTTTTAACTGTGCTCATTACTTGCATGATATTTAGCTCTGATTTATGAATGTTGCTTCTTTTGATCAAAAGTTAATATCAATTAACTTAATAATTCTATGAGTTTTTGTTTCAAGTCGAAAGTGGGATTAAATTTCGACGAACATATAATCCTATAAAAATGTTATACTACTTACCGATACTTACTTGCATGGTGTATTTAACGTGGAATATGGTTTAGATATTTTAGTTTTGGACTTACTTTTTCGTGCAAAGTTACACACTGGGCAATTTGAACTCTGTCCACTGCTGGGAATCGAGCTCCGGGTTTTATCATTGTAAGTTCGTAAACTTACCTCTGAGCCACCGGTGGACTTTCAACTAGCAATGTTTGATTACTAAAACAGTAACTTTTAAAGTTACTGTAAGTTAAGAATATCATAATTGTTTTTCAAGATTTGTTAAGACGACTTTGGTCTCATGCCATCTAGACACATACACAATTCAAAAACAATTCTATAAATAACAAATTGGAAGCTTTATAAACATCTATTATATTTTGTTGAAATGTTTGACAAGTAGCTTTTGTTAAACGTTTTGTATTTAGATATATTTAGATCCTGTAAGTCCATTGTATTGTAAGATTACTATATCCAAAAAAAAATGTTTGAAGTATTATTTCATTAGAATATTTTTGGATTTCGTTTTGGCTGACCAGAAATAACATTTTCTTATAAGTCTGGTCCTCCAGTGTGACAGCGTAAGTTTACAAACTTGCAATGGTGAAGTATACGGTTATATTCCCGTGGTGGAAAAAGTGCAGATAGTCCATTATGTAGCTTTACGCTTTAAAACAACAGCAACTGACGACTCCATACTTCTGTCTTCCTACGCTAGAGTTTTGGCAATATGTGATAAATAATCTATAAACATTTACAGAATGAGTATATTTTGACCAAATTTCGAAGTCTCGGTGTTTGGTTAAAGATTCAACTGTTTTATATCTGAAAGTCAACATTATTAAGCAGGTTTTCACAGCTAAGATGATGAATTATGTGGAATATAAGCGTACAATGTCTTCAATTTTTGCAGGGGAAGAATTTTTAAACACCTGAAACAGCTGTATCCGACCCACGCTTGTAAGGAGTTTTTAGAAAACTTTAACCTCCTGATAAAGTATTCCGGCTACAGGTAAGCAATTGTATTCAGATATTACCAAAACCACCATTTAGATGTATCCATATTATCAATTACAACATTTTTTTGAGAGATTAATAAAAGCTGCTAGTTATTATTTCAACACACACACACACATTAAAATATGTTATACTTAAAATATATGAAACGTCAGTATCATGATAATTTATATAAATATTTTAATATACTTATTCTACTTTAAAATGAATGTATTATTTTTTTCAATTAAATCCGGATGTTAACACGTATACCTAAGACAGATTTACAAGTAATATTTTTGTTGTAATTTATTTTTTAATATTCTATCTTGTATTTACATATACATTTTTATACATTTATTTGAACTCGACGGTTCTCTAAGCTATTATCGTAATATGGTTTTACTGTTTTAAAATATGAAGCTTAAAGCTTTGCTTGTTTATTTATTGTTAAGCACAAAGATACACAATGGGCTATCATTGCTCTGCTCACCGTGGGTATCGAAGCCCGATTTTTATTCTTATAAGTTCTCAGACTTACCGCTGAGCCACCAGGAGGCAAAGCTTAAAGAAATCTTGTAAACTTCATAAATAGATAAACAAACATTTAAACGAGTATATTATAATACGTTTTTGTTTCTATTTTGATTGTGTAAAATCAAAAATTATATGACAAACTAATACAATTAGGATAAGATGGGTCACCCGGGTATAAAAATTCTTGGTTTAGAAAATTATCATCCGACCGCAAATTAGTTGGGATTAAAGTCGTCACGAAGAAGAAGAATACGGTTAGGATAAGCTAGAAATTAAAACAAATAATAACCATAAGTTTTAAAGTTTTACATTAAGAGAAGTATTGAATTACTTGAGAAGTGTGAGCGTTGGCCTTTAAAACATTTTATTATGAAAGATGCAAATTACGTGACGTCCCTTGGAATGTTACCATGAGTTTTGTTTTTTCAGGGAAGACAGTATTCCACAGTTGGAAGATATAAGCTGCTTTTTGAAACGTAAGTTGTGTTTGTCGTATTTGAATTAACAAAGTTAAAAACAAGCATAAAATTATAAATCGAATACATTAAAACAATAGAAAACTTGATTTGGCTTTCAATGTCTTCGCTCTTTGGGAAAAAAACAACAACAAATATTTTGCCCATGGAGCTACGCAAGCAATCATAAGTACCGTAGTACTTATAATAGGAATGGGTCGGATACACAATACATGCAATACAAACTATTTACTCATATACACCTTTAACATCCAAATAGTGCATCTTCAAAATTATTTGAGAAACACCCTTAGGCGATAAACAAACCACATATCAAATTACAAGTCATAGAACCACTTGAGAAAGTCAGCATAACATATACAAAAAATTCATAAAACCACAAATTTCTCAATCTTGCTGACTGACTAACATTGTTGAACGCTTCTAGCTGTGTAACAAACACATTCACCATAGTTATAAGTTCACCAAATAGAACAACAGCACAGGGACCACGTGCTAGTGCTAACGTGAAGTAAATTATCAAATTAATTAACCAATTTACCAATATTTAGTACATGCACACAACCACAACTAACACTACATTACCCAAACTATGTTGCACACCATATAATGTGTGGTATCACATGTACAGCACACATGCACACACACAATTTGTACACACACCATAAGTGAAGAGAATGCACACCATATAATGTGTGGTATCATATGTACAGCACACATGCACACAACCACAAACCAACACTACATTACCCAAACGATGTTGCACACCATATAATGTGTGGTATCACATGTACAGCACAGATGCACATACACAATTTGTACACACACCATAAGTGAAGAGAATGCACAACACACACACACATACACCATTATTTGCACATATCATAATATTATTGTGCACACCCACACTGATGATATACATAAAGGATATCAACACAAATCAATGAATGTTGTATACGATCATGTCACCCTGTATAAAAAACTTGCATGAACAAGCGGAAAAAATTATAAGTGTAAGAATGGGTGCACTAAAAAATGAGAAAACAAGGCAGGGATGTGCATGGTGTAATAAGACTTCCTCTGTGCATCCTCACAAGGGGGAGTGTCCAACATCAGGTCCATTCCCACTTCGTTTTCCTGTGTTCATTATATCATACAACTTATGGGTACATACAAAAGTGTGTATATGATTCTTCTAGTTTTATATAGATAGTAACGAATCCATGATGCAATAAACAGGAACCTCTTAGAATTTTTATCATTGTGTTGTAATTCACCTATATAGCTAATGTACGAAATCCTGTTGACTTCTCATGCAAAATAAGGGACAAGTTGTAAAGTAAAGAAAACATACAAGTTATGAGTCCACATGAATATCTAATTCTTCTGGTGTCGTATAAACAGACTTTACAGTACATTTATTTCAATAATTCTATTCACAGAAATCTCTAGTCATTGTATGATAAACATAACTAAGTTTGATAAATTTAGTCCACCTGGCTTATTGTATACAAGCAAAAATACCCGTCCCCAGTGACGAATTTGTCGAATAAAATTCACAATGGTGAAGATATGCAAAGAAAAGTGTACACTAAAACCAAAAAGTAACGGTATGTTTTTATCTTTATCTAGTTGAAACCATAACATTGAAGAAGGCTGAAAAAAAAAAGAAAAATATAAATTAATTCGTCCACATTTATTATTACACACCTTTAAAATGTTTACAGATATAATTTACTGAAATATTAGTTGACTTTTATAAATATGATTTCTATATTTCTCTTAAAATAATATCAAAGAATGTAAAAATTTAAAACGTGTACATTATTCATGTTGCACTAAACTTAATATATGTCAAGTATTATACTATCAGAAGTACAGGGGTGGTTACGATCTATGGTACCGATACAAGGTTGAGTTTAGAAGCTTTATAGATCCTTCTTACTCTACCGATGGTGTTGTATGTAATGGACCTGCATGGTTAATGACTATTGCTTTGAAAGGAGGATTTTGTACAATAAACTAAGGTAAATGTTTTCCCTGTTCTATGTACTGGACTTGCATGGTTACAGACTATTGCTCTATAAGAAAAAAATTGTACTATACACTAGATCAATGTTGTTCCTCTTTTCTTTGAATGCTTTCCAAACTATATCAACCACGCGCGGATAACGACTTCTGAGAGCCTGTTTGAGCAGCTTAGAGGCACCTTAGTCCTTGGGATTTTTGATGCCCGCAAATGGTATAGCATGAAATCGGTGTTTCTTCTTGCATTCAATCCGTAAAAAAAAAAAAAAAATATTTACTCGCGTTATAGTGTTTTCAACATGTTAGCCTGATAGTATGCTGAGTTCTCGTGTTATTCTTTTTTCTTCTGGATCTTCTAATAACTAGCTTAACCTATAATTGCAATCACCATAATTATTTTGGAAAACTTTCATGACATATTCTGTGTTATATTTGAAAAGTAATTTCACTGGCAGAAAATAATACATCGCTCGAAGGTTTGCAGATATTTTAGCACTCATACGTTCCTTTCAATGTGACAATGTACTTCCATGCCAGATGTTGCTCATACAGCTGTTTACAGTTTTTTTATTCTGTTCTATGTGAATTATTATGTTCACACTTCTAAGGAAGGTTGCTATTTTAGCTGCAGTAGACTGCCGTATTTTTGAGTTATTTTTGGTTATAAGCGATTATACTGCCGTATTTTTGAGTTATTTCTAGTTACAAGCGATTTTTCTCTACTAGTCGGTCATAGTGTAGCCTGTTTTTTTGTGTTTGTTTTTTCATGCTGGATTCACGCTTTCTATTGCTTTACTAATAATGTTTAACACTACGATAGCCATCCCTTTTTTTGAAATGCCTCCCAGTAGCACAGCGGTATATCTATAGACTTACAACACTAGAAACCGGGTTTCGATACCCGTGGTGGGCAGAGCACAAATAGCCTATTGTGTAGCTTAACTACAAACAAACAATTATTTGAAATGCTAAGATTTTGTGACTGGCATTCTTTTATAATTGCAGACAATTTTGTAATGTAACCTTTCCAGCAGGGACCACATTTAGGTGCCATCTGCACTTTCAAATAATCACATTTCAACGGAATTGCAATAAGAGGGTCAGGTCTTTAACCTGTTTAGTAACAAGGCTAAGGTGATAACCAGGGACAACGTGATTAACATAGATCGTAAACAACCTTCTAAATCTGGAAACAGTAATTAGAAGCTCCTACCAAATGTTATTGATATTGTTTTGTCTTTGACCACAGGACGAACGGGATTTCAACTAAGACCTGTTGCTGGCTATTTGTCATCACGCAACTTTTTGGCTGGTTTAGCTTTTCGACTATTCCACTGCACCCAGTATATACGTCACAGTTCGGATCCTTTCTACACTCCTGAACCGTAAGTTCAATACGAAAAACTTATCACCACATTTCAAGTGTATTTTATGCTTTAGCTATTTTTAAGTTATAAATTCAACTTTAGATTAAGAAATTTGAATATACTTGTATAGTTGGAATGTTTGTTTGTTTTGAATTTTGCGCAAAGCTGCACGAGGACTATCTGCGCTAGCCGTCCCAAATTTAGCAGTGTAAGACTAGAGGGAAGGCAGCTAATCATCACCACCCACCGCCAACTCTTGGGCAACTCTTTTACCAACGAATAGTGGGATTGACCGTTACATTATAACGCCCCCACAGCTGAAAAAAAAAGAGCGAGCATGTTTGGTGGGACGGAGATTCAAACCCACGACCAACAGATTGCGAGTCGATCTCCCTAACCACCTGGCCATGCCGGGCCTAGTTAGAATAAAGTATGAACTAAGAAAAACGTACATGATAGCAATTAACCTTGTATTTGAATAAAATGTGATTTACTGTTTTATTTTAAGCCTTAAGTGGATGGAATCAACAAAACAAAATGCCATATACCTTTCTTTAATTGTTGAAATAAATACCTTAGGAACATAAACTTCTTAACGTGACATCGATAATGTCTGCTAATAACAATGACATAACCAAGTATTCTCCTGAAATTATATCCGAGTCTCAAGAAAAGAAGCTAAATAAAAGGAAGTGAATAATTCGGAATTTATAAGAACGTTTATTTTTTAAGTATTTTATTGCCTTAATAACTTACCTTGTAATATTTCATAAATGCTTTACTCATGGGAAGATTTTTGTTATGTGAGAACCACAGCTATACAAAGCGCGCTTAAACGGCATGTATCAGAGATACATTTTGTGCTTGGCGTCATGTAGGTAGTGTGATGCCTGCTAAAATTTATCATAAAACTTCACAAACAAACTCGGAACCAAAGATGTGTTCAGATCGGAGATTTAGAAGTTCCACGACAGGGATATCCCTTGTACTGAATGGTATCGGAAAACAAAGGAATATGAATATGCTTGATACTAAAGACCATTCACAAAGAGACCCGTAACAAGTCGTACCTCAGCCATGGTACGAAAATTGCGGCATTTCGTAATAGGTGAGAATCCACGAACACAAAGGTCAGTGACAAAAAGCTGTTCCACAAGTTCTAGGCAACAACATGCACACAAATTACTTCGACGACATTCTTTCAACCGTCAGATATCTCAAACACCTGGAGAATGAAATGGGTATTCTTGCTATTCTTTACAAAAACATACTGGTCAATTCTTCGGATGCAGTTTTTATGAATTTTTGTACGATCTGATTATTGAAATGAGTACTGGAAAACCGTCGTCACAGCATACTAGGCGGAATATGGAATGTCTGCAGGTAGAAAGGGTGCTTTGAACATGATATTCTTACGATAGAATCTATTGCAATAGAAACTACGCTACATGGGTATTTTCAAGATGCATGGTCATCAGATAGAGTGTGATTGGACGTGGCGACAAAGATTGTAATGACATGACGAGGCTACAAAAACACTTCCATATAACATATTCAACCTCTGTATTAGCATTCCCCGAAATAAACTGATTATTTATTACCAATTCTCCAGTAAAGAGTTGTACAGTGAATGTTAGTGTTTGCTTCATTACTCCTTATAAGCAAATCTTTTTCCGAGTCTTTGATGTATCTGCAGGTAGTAAAATAATCTTCAAGTGTTACTTAGTGGATTATGAATAACATTTTATAATAAAATAACCACCAAAGTCACAAACAGCAAGAGAAAGTTATTACATTTGTGAAATAAAGGAGGAAAGTAAGTAACAGTGAAATTTCAAAGTACACAAAAAAGAAATCGAAATAACCTGAAATGTAAAGCACATTTTCTCAGTTTTGTTTTACTAAAATTGTACTAAATTTTACAATTATTTATATTTTGTTTTCGAAAATAATCCTATTTCATCTGCTACTGCATTTTTCAACAATAAAGAATGTCAGAAATAGTAAGGTTTGAAAAATACTCTCTCTGTTTATTGTCTTTTGTTTATTCTCCTGCTAGTGATTGTTGCCACGAGCTTCTTGGTCACGTGCCTCTTCTGGCAGATCATAATTTCGCACAGTTTTCCCAAGAGATTGGTTTGGCATCTCTAGGGGTTTCGGATGATGAAATAGAGAAACTGGCAACAGTAAGTTTTGATGACTTATTTTTTATGATTTAATTGTATAATATAATTTCATGTATCTATATATAAAACTCAGAATCTCTCTTCTGCTTGCTTGTTTGTCCGCCACGTTCACTGCGCAGGTCACACTTCCCTCATGTGAAGGCGCGCAAAACGACAATTTTCGTATATTATGTAATGTATATGTTAACGATAAAATTACCGGTTTGGCTAGCAGACGAGAGACACGTATATCAATATATATTACTATTGGTTAAAAATGACATGTTGCATTGCGACTAAGTTAAATATATTACTTACCAGTCCGACTTAGTTTCTGATATTGTGTCGATGTAATGAACTTTAAAATATTTAACGTGACTAAGTTTAATATATCACATGTCAGTGTGACTGAGTTCATGATATTATGTATCATTGCAACTGAACTAAGGATATTACGTGCCAGTCCGACTAAGTTAAAGATATTTACTGCTAGTTTGACTGATTCACGATACCATTTGTCAACGTGACTGGTATCGTGAACTCAGTCAAACTAGCAGTAAATATCTTTAACTCTTTTTTCAACGTGACAGAGTTAAAGATATCATGTGTTAAAATATTTCTTTCCATTAAAGATATTTTCTTATTTTGGTAGTGTTACTTCTTCACAGTGGAGTTTGGACTCTGTAAACAGAACGGCGAAATGCGGGTATTCGGTGCTGGTCTTCTTTCTTCTGTCGCAGAGTTACAAGTTAGTTTCTTTTACTTTATTACACAACTCAGTTTTTCTGTACGTTAAAAACTACTTGAACATGTAAAGAAAGTGAGTTTGTATTTAACACAACTGCAACTAGATCTATTGATTTACCCCGCTATTTGAGCACAGTAAATAATTCAATTTTAAACGGTAACCTAGATATATAGAATTTATGTTCTTGATCATCTATTAAAAGTTTCCATTTGTTATAAGTTATGCACAATCCACGAACTTTTAATGATAAGTGATATGAACTAATAACATTCTGTCCATTTCATTTTTACAGCACGTGTTATCTTCCAATGTTAAGGTTTTGTCCTTTGATCCCGAGCTGACGTGTAAGCAGAAACCCATTATTACTTCATTTCAGAAGGTTTACTTTTACACCAACAGTTTTGAAGAGGCCAAAGAGAAAATGAGGTAACAGTAGATGTCTGAAACGTTACAGATTTGTTAAGGAATTTTAGATTTTGCAATATAAACACATCCATTATAATGGTTTCATATAGACCATTACTGTCACAGTATTTTTTATTGATCAATGACAGAACGGGAAATTATATTTTTGCGTTTGGAGCCTAACGTCCAAAGCACTCTCGTAAGGTTTGAGATAAAATGTTCATAAGAAAAGCCATAATATAACATGCAAGTATTTATTTAATAGATAAGTTAAGTTTGTTTTTTGTACTATGGAAGGAGATTTCATATCCCCACTTTTCTGCGGGAGATAATCGTGTAGTTAGGGTATGAATAGAGAAGTGTCAGTTTCGAATTCAAAATCGAAATATTAACAGTCCTAACTTTCTTTCCCCTTTTTTCTGCTTTCGTTGTCGAAAATCATTTATAATATCGGTGTGAGCAGAGATAATATTTTACAAATTTTGTGTTTACTCGTCTTACTCCCGAGTGAGGTTTGTTCCATCTACGTTTTACTACTTACCACATACTATTGTAAAGTTTCGTTGATTAGTGTCCTAATACTTGAAAAGAAAATCAAAGCATCGAGGTGTAAATATATATAAGATTGTTTTGGTTTTTTTGCGATAATAAAGACTTTTTTTAACTGTTTGCATGTTTAAAAAATTTCAACTTTTAAACAAATTTACATTAGAAATATTTTAAATTGATCGTTATCATAGTTTCTTACTGACGGTTCCCCAAATTTATCATATTTCTAGGGGTTCGGATACTTATTACTATTGTTTCTATGTTTACTAAATTTATTTTGTTAATCAATTTATCTGCCTACTTTCTTTTTTCCAGAGAATTTGCCAAAACCATTAAACGCCCTTTTGGCATTCGCTACAGCCATTGCACGCAGACTATAGAAATACTATCGAACACTAGGAAGATAAGCACGTATGGTGAGTGAGTGCTGTGTCACGGTGACATGAACTCTGAGATGAATCGAACTATGAAGTAGTGTTTATGTTTAAAGTAAACAACTGGAATTTAGTGAAACAAATTAGAAAACTTCTGTGACGTGCTGAAAATATTTCTTTATTGATTTCATAGATTTCAAATAATTTACGTTTCACTAGAAATATAGTTTTAAGAACAATAGTTTAATTAAAAATATAGTTTTAAGAACAATAGTTTAAGTTTAATTAAAAATAAAATTTTAAGAGCAATAGCTTAAGTTTAATTAGAAATAACGTTTTAAAAGCAATAATTTAAGTTTAACTAGAAATATTGTTTTAATTTTTTTTCTGTCTAGGATTTTGTTGCTGTTTTTGTTGACTTACTAATGTTTGTTCAGCCTGCAGAAAAACTAATCGCTTCTTTCTAAACTTACCCCCACCCCCAGTGGCTCAGCTTCAAGACCGAGGGCTGACACTGCTAAAAGCTAAGTTTCTATACATGTGATGGGCGAAGCACAGATAACCAATTGTGCCCATTGTGTAGCTTTGTGGTTAACAAAACTTTATAAATTCATTACTGTGTAATCGATCTACCATAAAGAGTAAAATCAACTTTGAAGTTTACATATATATAATATTGTTACGTCTCTGGTCGTTAGTTAATTCTTAACGAACGATTCACGCACTTTACTTTCTACCGCGCTTAACTCAATTGTCCGTCTATATCTTCAGTCTCCTATTAGATTGTTGCCGTCACTTTATTTGCCGGCTTATATACTCTAAGAGCGCCATTCTAGCAACCGCAGGAAAGTTCAAAAAGTTCCTCGATCTTTCTAAATACTCATTACATGTTACCAGGGTCACGCGACCTCCGCTGTCGTAACACTGCCCCTTCCTTAGTATTGTTCGTCCCGAACAATAGCCACTTAAATTAAACCAATAGATAATTAACAATAACTTAATTAAATGTACAGAATTTACAAATACAAAATTAAAATTCAACAAAGTCTCTTAATTTTATGGGACGTATCTTCTTCCGTACTGGTCTCTGTCTCATTGGCTTCTGCTTCACGTAAAGTTCATCTGCTCCATCAGGAAATGTCCTATTATCGGTAATAGTACATCAGTGGTAGTAACTTCATGAAGGGTTTCATTGTTTCCCT